CGACCTTGTTAAGCATCAAATTGACACCGGTGCAGCCCGACCCATCAAACTCCCTGCGTACCGAGTGGGCGCACCCGAACGCGCCCAAATCAAAGAGGCAGTTGGGGACATGCTTCGCGATAACATAATTCAGCCCTCGGCGAGCCCCTGGTCAGCCCCGGTGGTACTAGTAACGAAAAAGGATGGGTCAACCCGGTTCTGCGTCGATTACCGTAAACTAAACGCAGTCACGCTCGGCGATGCCTTCCCCATACCTCGCATCGACGACACCTTCGACAGTCTCGCAGGAGCGCGGTATTTTTCCACCCTCGATCTGGCGTCCGGTTACTGGCAGGTGGAGATGACGGAGGAGGATCGGCCAAAAACAGCATTCACCACCCCGATGGGCCTGTTTGAGTTTCGAGTGTTGCCGTTCGGACTCACTAACGCGCCCGCGACGTTCCAGCGGTTGATGGAGTTGGTGATGCGGGGCTTGCAGTGGGAACAGTGCCTGATTTACTTGGACGATGTGATAGTGTTCAGTAGATCTTTGTCTGAGCATTGGTCCAGGCTTCGAGAGGTGTTCCAGCGACTGCGAGCGGCTCATCTCAAGCTCAAGCCACGTAAGTGTTACATCGCACAACGCGAGGTGGGGTACCTCGGGCATCGCGTCAGCGAGGCAGGCGTGCGCACCGATCCGGAGAAGGTACGCGCCGTAGTGGAGTGGCCACGGCCAAGGAATCTGACGGAGATCAGATCATTTTTGGGGCTCGCCACCTATTATCGTCGATTTGTAAAGGGATTCAGCGAGATTGCACGCCCCCTCACCCAACTCACCTCCCCTAAGCACCCCTATCAGTGGACGGGGGCCTGCCAGACGGCCTTCACCACTCTCAAAGACCACCTCACCCACGCCCCCACCCTCGCTTTCCCCGATTTTACCACCGATTTTATTTTGGACACCGACGCCTGCAGCAGCGGGCTGGGCGCGGTGTTGTCACAGGTACAGGATGGGACGGAACGAGTCATCGCGTACGCCAGCCGGACCTTGAGTGGGGCCGAACTGAACTATTGCGTGACCCGCCAAGAGTTGTACGCCGTGATTTTCGCATGCAAACAGTTTCGGCCGTATTTGTACGGCAGGAGATGTCGCGTACGCACTGACCATTATGCTCTGCAGTTTCTGCTTACATTCAAGGAGCCGCGGGGGCAGATGGCCCGGTGGTTGGCGCAGTTGCAGGAGTACAACCTGCAAATCGAGTATCGGGCTGGCCGGACGCATGCAAACGCGGACGCCTTGTCGAGGCGACCCACGGTGTACGCCGAGACGAGGGCGGAGGAGGCCTGCCCGTGTTTCACGGGGGGACGCTGCCGGCAGGCAACGGACCCCCGAGAGGCCGCGGCCACTGACCCCCCCCCAGCGAGAGAGAGGGCAGTGTGCGCCACGGAAACCCTCACAGGTGGCACTGAGGATCCCGTCGACCGCCCGGCAAGCGCGGGACCCGCGGCTCGGGACCCGATTGGACGGATCCAGGAGGACGTCGGCTGCGCCTTCCCGGGCCTAAACGACGAGCAGCTGAGACAGACCCAGCAGCGAGATCCGGATCTGGCGGCAGTGGAGGTGGCACTGCGGGAGGAAAAGAGCGCCCTACCAGGACCCTGGAGCGGTTTGTATGCCCGGTTGTGTGTGCGGAACGGAGTGGTACGGGAGTTAACCGAGGCCGGCCAGCCGGGGTGCATCTGTGTTCCTGCCCAGGTGCGACCCCAGCTGCTACGGCTGGTGCATGACCACCCACTCGGGGGCCACGATGGGGAACGACGCACTCGAGAGACCCTGCGTCGCCAGTATCTCTGGCCCAAATTGGCACAAGATGTGGCCGCCTGGGTGCAGGGCTGCCGGGCCTGTCAGCAGTGTGGGCAAAAGCCGGCGAGGTACCAGGTACCCCTGAGGCCGTTCCGAGTCAGTCGGACGAATCAGTTGGTCGGAATCGACCTGCAGGGGCCCTTTCCACGATCCCACCGGGGCAACCGGTATATTCTCGTAGCGGTGGAATACTTCACCCGCTACCCCGTGGCGGTGGCTATCCCGGATAAAACAGCCCTTGTAGTGGCCCGGGCCTTCGTGGAAAACTACGTACTTAAGTGCGGGATCCCCGAACGAGTCATTACCGACCAGGGTAGTGAATTCGAGGCCGAACTATTTCAGGCGCTGTGCCGAGAGTTCGGGATCCAGAAGGACCGAACCACGGCGTATCACCCCCAGGCGAACGGGATGGTAGAGAGGATGAACCAGACTCTGGCCGGGAAGCTTAAACGCATGGCGGCCGCGAATCAACAGGACTGGGACGAACACCTTCCCTATGCCCTGTTCGCCTACACCACCGCCGTTCACACCTCTACAGGACAGACCCCGTTCCTAATGATGTTTGGTCGCGAGTCTCGCCTGCCCGCAGATCTGCTGTTCGGTGTTCCTCCGCCGCAACGGGAGGAAGGGAGCCACCCCGTGGAGTACTTGCTGGAGACCCTGCGAGGGGCCAGGGGCCGAGCCTGCCCGCACGGAGAGGCCGCGCACCAGCGGCAAGAGCAGGGCGCCCGACCCCGTATGGAGCCCCCCTTCTACACTGCGGGCTCCGAGGTGTGGCTGTACACTCCCCGCGTCGGTGCCGGACAGGTGGGGAAGCTGACCACCTACTGGCGAGGACCCTGGATTGTGAGACGGCAGATCTCACCATGGACGGTGCTGATTCAGGGAGGAGAGAGGGGCCGGGAGATGGTGGTCAACATCCGCCGACTGAAGCCGTGGCGAGCAGCCCCCGAGGGGGGGAGCCCCGCCGTCCAAGTACCCCGAAACCCCGGGGTCCCCCCACCCCCCGTGCCCGGGGGCCTCGCGCAGTACATGGGCCCCACGGAGCCCCGGGCTCCGAGGGGCCCCGGGCGGGGCCGGGGGCGACGAGGACGGCAACCCTTAAACCCCACCGCCTCTGAGTTTGTTCCCCAGCCCGCAGGTGCCAGGGGCCGAGGGGAGCCGTTGGAATGGAGGAGGAGACCACCGCCGGAGCCCCAGGAGACGGAGCCGCCACCCCCGAGGCCAACCACAAGGGCCGGGCGAATCCCGCGGACCCCGCGGCGATACCTCGTGGGGGCAACCCAGGCGAGGTGCTCAAGTCAACCCGGGACGGGGACTGGCACCCCGGGGGGCTATGTGGTGCCACAGCGACGGGGCCGCTCTGCCGAGCCAGGGAGCCGCCCGGCTTCCCCCACCGCACTGCCCCCAATCACCCGCCCCACATAAGCACACACCCGCACGCATCCCCCCCCCCCCCCCCCCCCATAGAGCTGGAAGGGAAGGTTACCCGATCGACCGGTTTTTATCCGAGAGACCCTTATCGGGATTAATTCTCACGGTTTCCGGCGATCAGGGAATTGGATGACCTCCCCCGTGCTACGTGGTACCGCGGCGCTGCTGCCGGCCTTAATATGGTATGGTCGCGGCGTGGGGCATTCGGCCACCGCGGTTGAGGCGCATTTCCCCCCACACACACCCCCACGAGTCGACGGGGCAAGCAGGGGAGGCACGGGACAGCATGAATAGCGGGGTCACAGGGGCTGTTGCGCATAGTCATGGAGGGTTGGGATAATTGCGCTTGAGCGCGCAAGCCCCATTGTTAGGAAGGGTAAGGGAGTAATTAGGATTTACGCCTTGCACGCAGCACACTGATTAGCATATCAACAGCGCCTGGGGACTGCCGTGCGCGGGCTTGGGGTGCACGAGCCCATTGTTCAGCGCAGCATCCCCTTTGGAGGTAGGGAGGATAAATAGAGGAGCGCAGAGGGGAAATCGCTCTCTTACTCCAGCGCCAGGCGACCAGACGCAGCTCGAGCCAGCGACCCGAACGTCCGTGCGACGCACCGAGGCACGCGGTTAACACAAGGATCAGCGGACCGCCGTGGACACTTAACAGTGAGTAAGAAGGGGAATTAGAATCATAGCCGATAAATAGGGAATAGGTACAGGTTTAGTGGAATAGGCCAGCCTCGTCGACTCACTGATTCAACATCAATTCGCAGGTGGCATATAATAAATCATTAATAGCGAAGCGTGGTCTCGCGTGATCTTGTCGTGCAGTGTGAGCGTGTGGGGGCGCTGTGTGCACAGTGGTTCGCCACGTGAGTGAGCGCTGCGCGGAGCTGAGCGCGCGGGTTGCGTGTGGGGACGCGTGTGGTACTGTGTGTGCGTAAGCTCGCGGCGTGCGTAATCGGCGTACCCCAGGTGCGCGATTGTAACGTGAGCGGCCAGCGCGGCGCAGAGAAGCGCAAGAGTGAGTGCCGTACAGAGCTGTGTGTGTGGGTGTGCGCGTACGTAATTAACCATGCCTGCTACGCGGACCCGCGGTGGAGTGGAACCCTCGGGCGACGGCTCCCACACCATGGGTGAGGAACTTAGCAGCGGTTCGCTTAGCAGCGGGGGGGCGATTGATGATGCTAGCCCGGCCGTTAGCATTATCGAGGGAGGGATTTCGGGGGCTAGCGACCCCCACACATCCTAATTACTCCCTTACCCTTCCTAACAATGGGGCCTGCGCGCTCAAGCGCAATTATCCCAACCCCCCATGACTATGCGCAACAGCCCCTGTGACCCCGCTATTCATGCTGTCTCGTGCCTCCCCTGCTTGCCCCGTCGACTCGTGGGGGTGTGTGTGGGGGGAAATGCGCCTCAACCGCGGTGGCCGAATGCCCCACGCCGCGACCACACAATATTAAGGCCGGCAGCAGCGCCGCGGTACCACGTAGCACGGGGGAGGTCATCCAATTCCCTGATCGCCGGAAACCGTGAGAATTAATCCCGATAAGGGTCTCTCGGATAAAAACCGGTCGATCAGGTAACCTTCCCTTCCAGCTCTATGGGGGGGGGGGGGGATGCGTGCGGGTGTGTGCTTATGTGGGGCGGGTGATGGGGGGCAGTGCGGTGGGGGAAGCCGGGCGGCTCCCTGGCTCGGCAGAACGGCCCCGTCGCTGTGGCACCACAGCTGCTGCGCTTCAATTAGTTCAAATTAACTGTGTAACATTTCACCCACTCGATGTGTTTTAAGCATTGATGTGATGGGAGTGATCGAGCCCGAAAGCAGGGATCACAAACACAGGCGAGGCGGGTGGCAGCTCCCTCACTCGAACTGAGTGCAGAGTAATCTCAGCGACGTCAGCATTCTCGCTGGCGATTCTAATCTAAATCCAGATTCAAAATGATGCATTCTTGACGAACCTCCAATTTGATTATGTGTTGCACCTCTTCATTCCGTCATCATGCTACTGGTGCCAAATATGGAATTTAGTCTAAAAATGTATTGATTCCAGACAGCTTTACTCAATTTGCCTTCATTCGCTCGTTCCGCCTTTTCACTTTGTTTTTGTTTTGTAAACATTGCGGTGCACCATTTAAACTTCTATAAAATTAATTTCTATACGTAAATATCGCATTGTTTGCAATGTCTTTCTTACTTTGGGAGAACTAGTTGGTGACGTTCACTCAACTATTGTGTTGGAAGCCGTTAAGCTTCACACGATTATAAAGTTAGTTCATCTTGTTCACTTGAAAACAAGACCTTACACCGATTATTCACTGCACGTGCAATCTTGCAACAGATGGCGTTCCTCTGGCGTTCGCTGCGGGTGTGCCAATATCATTCCAGAGTGCTTCGAAGAAGGGCCATTGCCCAAAACGTCGCATATTATACATGTCAAGGAAGTGTTATTGACGACGGTGGAGGGTTTTCTTCGTCGCAGAGGTTAAAGGTGGAAGGTTTAAGGCGGAGCCATCGCGGAGGGCAGGGGTGGTCGGTGACGTCGCCACGCTTCGGGTATAAAGGCGGCTGCTGCTGCAAGCTGAGCGCGCAGTCTCTCGCGAGGAGCTTTGTCACAAGTAGTCGCAATGTCTGGACGCGGTAAAGGCGGTAAGGGGCTCGGCAAGGGAGGCGCAAAACGCCATCGCAAGGTGCTGCGCGACAACATCCAGGGCATCACCAAGCCCGCCATCCGCCGCCTCGCTCGCCGCGGCGGTGTGAAGCGCATCTCGGGCCTCATCTACGAGGAGACCCGCGGCGTCCTGAAGGTCTTCCTTGAGAACGTCATCCGCGACGCCGTCACCTACACGGAGCACGCCAAGCGCAAGACCGTCACCGCCATGGACGTGGTCTACGCCCTCAAGCGCCAGGGCCGCACTCTCTACGGCTTCGGAGGCTGAGCGCCCATCTCTCGCACACTAAGCCAACCCAAAGGCTCTTTTCAGAGCCACCCACCTCTTCGAAACTGCTTGCGCCAGTGTTGCCAAACACGCTCTGAATGGAGCACATGTCCTGGGTTGTTGTGAGCGTGCTGGACGTTCGCTTGTTGAGTTGGCGAATCTTCATCTGCTTCCACATGAATGAATGAAAGAAATCATGATATTCACGACACGTCACATTTAACAAGGCGTAATTCTTGAACGCCTTAATACAGTACCCATTTCTGGTATTTTTGCGTGAATTATTTCCAGCTGCAGCCGATTCCGATATTACGTAGAGCATTTGGCGCCACAATCTTACAGCACACTCGTCCTAATTGACGTAGCGTGCCGGAATGCTAATCTCCACCTGTACAGCACAACAGCGAAGTTATTTTTCTCCACCGAGCGCTTGTATTTTTCCAAATTGCGTTCATAAAACGCCCGTGCGCCGTATTAGACGAGTGGTGAAACAATCCCTCGTAAGAAACAAAAAAACCCACGCTCAAAACACAATATACTGAATTGGGTTTTCTAGTCATCCTTTTTAAAGCAAAGGCAATGCCATGGCTGCAATTCACTAATACACATGTTTGGACATTACATTGTGTTATATTCTCAAGTCCTTTTGGCAGTAAAATCGATATTAAAGTGAACATCGCGTCCGCGTTTCTCATTGGAGGCTGATGGAGAGGGACGGTACTAAAAGAGCCACTCAGCAGCGCCGCGCACTACGATCCTCTGATTTGCATCTCGCCTCCTATAAAAGGAGCTCAACGCGCGAGCGACATCCACATTCGCTTCCCGTCTGTTCTGACCTGAAGCTGCTGCCTACGACGCGTCGACATGCCCGATCCTCCCGCATCAAAGAGCGCTGGGCCGGCCAAGGTTCCTGCTCCCAAGAAGGGCTCCAAGAAGGCTGTGACCAAGGCTACGCGCAAGGATGGCAAGAAGCGACGCCACCGCAGGAAGGAGAGCTACGCCATTTACATCTACAAGGTGATGAAGCAGGTGCACCCCGATACCGGCATCTCGTCCAAGGCAATGAGCATCATGAACTCGTTCGTCAACGACATCTTCGAGCGCATCGCTTCCGAGGCGTCCCGCCTGGCGCACTACAACAAGCGCTCCACCATCACTTCTCGGGAGATCCAGACCGCAGTGCGACTGCTGCTCCCCGGCGAGCTGGCCAAGCACGCCGTGTCGGAGGGCACCAAGGCCGTCACCAAGTACACAAGCTCCAAGTGAAGCCTCGACTCCACCATTAATTACAAAGGCTCTTTTCAGAGCCACCCACCTCTCCGAACCTGCTTGTACCAGTCCTAGCAGGAGTACTAAACGAAACTTCCAACAAAGCCCCGGTTCACGCGGGGACATTGTTCGCTCATTGAGTGAAATGGAGAGATGGAACGCATTTTAACCTGTTTCCACGTGAATAAAAGCGATAACAATATTCATGGCACATCATATTCACCAGCAGGCATGTCTTGGACTTGTTTGTCCATTGATTTCATCTGCAGCCCATTCAGATACTACATTGGATATTTGGTGCCAAAACCTTGCAATGCAATATATTTAATTCGTGGTTGTATTTTCGGACAGGAACTAACATTTTGCACGTGTGCATCTATGTAAAAGTAAGCGCCTAGCATGGATGACTCGTGCAGTATAATTGATGATCATCATCTCAATGCCAAGAGAATAGATATCTATCCCTGTGATCACCTCTTTCCGTCAATTTTTACGTATTAACTTTGGAGCTTTCGTGACTGCAGGAATTATTCTTTGGTTCTTTCGGTAAAGTCACGTCTATAAAAAAAAAACAAATTGGTGATATCTGTCTACTTATATGTCTGTCTATAATTTTTTCTGGTTCGATTTTATGTCGCTATTTCATTATACCTGATGATGATTGCTTGTGTTGCAATGGAAACGTCGTATGCTATTATTTAATTTATTATTTTTTCTTTATACGTGACTTTACCGAAAGAACCAAATAATCATTTACTGCAGTCACGAAAGTTCTAAAATTAAGATTGATGAAGAAGAGTTGACGACTCGAGATCATTGCACGCTGCCAACCAATCAGCACGCGCCCCTTCTTCGCACGTCACGACTCCGCTGACCAGTGAGCGCGCGCTCTGGGCTACATAAGCCGCCTTCTCCTCCCCGCCTGTGAGAATCTTTGCCCTCACCAAGCCATGGCTCGCACCAAGCAGACGGCTCGCAAGTCCACGGGCGGCAAGGCCCCCCGCAAGCAACTCGCCACCAAGGCGGCCCGAAAGAGCGCTCCGGCCACGGGCGGCGTCAAGAAGCCTCACCGCTACAGGCCCGGCACCGTCGCTCTGCGCGAGATCCGCCGCTACCAGAAGTCCACCGAGCTGCTCATCCGCAAACTGCCCTTCCAGCGCCTCGTCAGGGAGATCGCGCAGGACTTCAAGACCGACCTGCGCTTCCAGAGCTCCGCTGTCATGGCTCTGCAGGAGGCCAGCGAAGCGTACCTTGTCGCGCTCTTCGAGGACACCAACCTGTGCGCCATCCACGCCAAGCGCGTCACCATCATGCCCAAGGACATTCAGCTCGCCCGCCGCATTCGTGGCGAGCGCGCTTGAACGCCCAGCTCGGCCCTCAAAGCACAACACAAAGGCTCTTTTCAGAGCCACCACTTACTCGTGAGAAAGCTTCCATGTGTGTCCTTCAAAGTTCGGGTGCCGGAAACCTTCGTTTGCTGGTCACGGCTCTCACGAGTCGTCAGGCGTAAGCGACAATGAAGTTCATTTTCTATACCCCGCCGCTCGTATTTTTCAACATCACACGTTGGTGTTGTATATAAGCGTTGTGAAACCATGTTTACATAGTGTACAACAAAAGGGTTATTTTGGTGAAATGTATTTTACCTCAGAGTCGCGTGGTGGGTGTGGAGGCCTCGCACCGTGCAGAGCCTCCCGCCTCGCCTGATTTTGCCACCCGGCTGACGCTGGGTACGGGTGCCGTTTCCCCCCCCCCCCCCCCCGCGCTTCAATAATACTGTGTAATCGCTATAATTTAATAATCTACCGACCCTATAATAGTAATAGCACACATTGTGGTCGGGGGGGGAGTAAAGAGGACGTGAAACTTAGATGAATTTACCTCAGAGTCGCGTGTTAATGCGTGCGCCTATTTTTAACGGGAATTAAAGATGGCGTCCACCCCGCAACTGCTAGCCCGGCGCTAGCCGTTGCCAGGGGCAACCGGCGTCGCTAGCCGTTGCCAGGGGCAACCGGCGTCCAATGAAAGTGCGTATGGTCCGACATCCACACACAGACAGACAGACATTCACGATTTTATATATATAGATTAAACCCAAAGATATTGGTGTATGCTGTTTCAAGCCCGAGCTGATAAGAAGTTCACATTTTGCAAACTGAGACTGAATTATTCACGCACATATATTTTTAGGCATTGCCCGAACAGGCGGTTAAAGAAAAATATCTATACACCGTATAGGCACGTGGGCGATCAATCACGAGCTCAAGGCTATCACAATGATTTCTTATAACCAATGCGGTCCCTCAAAATGATGATTATAATCAATAATACATTGATATTTGCGGAATCCGCTTATAAGTTTGACTTGCCAGCACGCGCCCATAAATTAACTCTATCATGCTTAAAACTTGAACCTATTAAGTACGTGTATCGCATTGTTTAATTCATAAGATGCGTGTGCGCATTAAAACATATATGGATACAAATAATGAAAGTCAACATCGAATCCTCGCGTCCCGGCTTGTCATTGGTGGCTCAAGGAGAGGGCGGGACTCGACCGAGAGGAGCCAATCAGCAGCGGCGCGCTCTACGATCCTCGTCTCCGCTATAAAAGCCGCTCCCGTGGTGCGTGTTAACGTCACAAATCGTTCGTACTTTGTCTCCAGTGCTTTTTGCATCCTAGGTCCCTTAACGATGTCTGGACGCGGCAAGACCGGTGGCAAATCTCGCGCCAAGGCAAAGTCCCGCTCTTCCCGCGCCGGCCTGCAGTTCCCCGTGGGTCGCGTTCACAGGCTGCTCCGCAAGGGCAATTACGCCCAGCGGGTCGGCGCTGGAGCACCCGTCTACCTGGCCGCCGTGCTCGAGTACCTTTCTGCCGAGATCCTCGAGCTGGCTGGCAATGCCGCCCGCGACAACAAGAAGACGAGGATCATCCCCCGACACCTGCAGCTCGCCGTGCGAAACGACGAGGAGCTCAACAAGCTCATGGGCGGCGTGACTATCGCCCAGGGCGGTGTGCTGCCCAACATCCAGGCCGTGCTGCTGCCCAAGAAGACCTCTCAGGCAAAGAAGTGAACGCGCCGCCGCCTCTACCACCACAACAACGGCTCTTTTCAGAGCCACCCACTTGCTTGCAAAGAGCTCGGACAGTCGTGCACAGGGGTTTTGTTATTAATAAGGACACCGTCGTCGAGTTGCCCTCGTCCCAAATTGCTCGCAATTAAACGAATGCTTTGCTCATTCCAGGATACCCTTATGTCTAATTTAGGAACGGTATTTGAGCAGCATTCCAACATTGCATCAATCATGGAACATGGTTTAGAATAAATTGGGATACCTATTGGAAGAAAGTATCGTATTTTTTAAAGAATAAAACTCGCTCTTTTTGAGCGGTCAGATTACATGTGAAGAGGAGTCGGTGAATGGTTCAAGCACTTTAAGGGATCTGCGAGCCACCCTCACGCACCACGCAAACACGACATCTCCGCTCTCACGACAACACGCACCAATCGCACGCGCGGGGAAGAGCTGGACGGGGGGGTCAGGGGTTAAAGGGCGGACACCGCTGGTTTCAAGTTCATTTTAAGTTCATTTATTAGGTATAGCCCTGTGAGCCATTCAGCTCTTGAATCGGGTGCAACCGCAACAAACAAAAAACAAAAAACATGAACAAAAAACATCTTAAAGTGAATATGTGACTAAGTGCAAACAGAAAATCCAAGAAAAGACAGCAAAAATATTGCAGAAAAAACACCGTACACCAACGCTGTGTGCAAAAATCCC